ATTCAAAGTAATGATGGTCCAAACCACAAGCCAAAAAAAACAAGTTGACATTATGCTTTCCACGTATGCGTAGAGCCATCTCGTGGGAATAATTTTGTGGCACAACTTGTCCAAAACTATCAACATTTAAATCATTATAAACGGATTCTAAGGGATTTTCAAACAGAAATGTCTATGTTCCTCGGGATTGCAATTGTTAAACATAAAATTGTGAAGATCAAATCTCTATCTAACATTAATAGCTCACCTATATTTTGAAGAGATGATTGATAGCACATCCGAGGATGATTGGTCGATTATCAAGAGAATGAAGGTCGATTATCCTCACCACCTGATACTACCAAAAATCGTACATGTTGATTCCCGAACTTGACGATTGAGAACAATGATCTTCCGGTACCTGAAATAGAGGCATCGAAGTGTGTCATGTCGCCCCTCCGATACTTAAGTCGGAGAGAGAATTCATGAGAAAATGTATGCTGAAAATTATTTTAAAACGTACCTAGATAATGAATTTGAGTGCTGTATTTATAGAGGTATGTAGTACATTCTTGGTAAGATTATGTTGTTGAAGTCCCTAGGAGTTTGCTAGGTTCGAGATTAAGACATGACCTCGAGGAGGTCCCAAGCTAACAGTAATGTTGTTCCCGAGAAAATATCCCGACGAAATTGATGTGGTGCGGATGTTATCTTTATGTGCCCGAGGATACACGTGCCCCAAGCTCAAGTGCCCGAGGATGTGAGTGCAAAATTGGTGGGATAGGCAGCATTGCTCCTCAAATTAACATGGTCGGGTCATGCCTATATTGGGATCATCAGTGGCCCACGTGCATCCATGCTTGAGGCTCGATCTCGAGATCCGAGAATGTGATGCTCATTGCAACATAATAGGAACGACCAACTTTTGGTAAGCACTATCAGCCTTGAAAATAGGATTGATCAGCTACAAGATAGGACTGATCAGCCTTAACATAGGTCTGATCAGCCCTGAAATAAGACTGATCATCTTTGGGAATAGGACTGATCAGCATTTGGATTTGACTAAGGAGCTGTGAGACAACAAGGGTCCCACAGAAAGGGTGACACTTGGCCTTGATCTTCAAGCTGATGATGCCACGTAGCAGGGTTTGAGGGCAAAGATTGAGGGACATTTCGCCTTCTTTAATCCTATAAATACTCCCATACCCCACCTCATTTGTCACTTTTCACTCTTCACACTCTTTGGACCACCTTGGGTTTAGGCTTAAGGTAAGAGCTCGTGCCCTTTAGAAAATTTAAGTTTTTTTCTCTTTAAAGATGCTTCGGATAGTTCGTCGAGGTTGGGTTCAACACTCGAGGATGTTGGCCGTTCTATAATCCACATGGTCGTTTCTCTAGATACTAGGTCGGTTCTGAACAACCCCAAGCTTAGAGGTCGATACAAAGAGCATGAGATAATATCTATAGCGATGGAGTTCGGGATTATGCCAGGGTGCGATATTAGGATCCCCGGGCCCTAGGATAGCATAGTTAGCGATGGGAAGGCGAGTTAGTGATTTTCAGGGCGCTTTGAATGGGGGGTTTAGATGGCATCTTCATCCCTTCTTCATAGAGTTCTTAGTCGAGCACTGCATGTGCCCTGGACAGCTCATCCCCAACGCATGGAAGATTATTATTTATATTTTTATAGCTTATAGGTATTTGTCCATATGTCCAGGCTCGACCTCCTTAGGATGGTATTCGAGCTTAAGTCGTTACCTGGGCTATAATTGTTTTATATATTTATAAACCCGAGGTAGGTATAGGATCCCCAAAATGTCAAGCTCCCTCAAGGGGTGGAAGCAGAAATACTTTTTCATTCATCCTCAAGATCCTGATCACCCTTTTGGTCATCGGTGGACTATCCCAGACACTGCTCGATTTAACGAGGGACGTGCTTATTTTGAAGTTTTAGAAAGGGATAGGCAGAGTTTGGAGGATCTCGAGCCTTTGTGTTATAACCTCGATGACATGCTCGGGGATGACATTCTACATCTACCAAATGTGAAAGGACTTAAGGATAGGGTTTAATTTCTTTTTTTATTATTCATCATTGAATCTCAACCATTCTTCGAGCTAACGAATTGTCATTTTGTAAAAGACATGACTTTTGATCCTCCAGCATTGCGACTGGCGGTGAGCCAAAATCCAAGATCCTACAGACCAGGGCCTCAGGTTAGAAAAAAGGGAAGAAGTGACCTCTAGAACATACACCCAAGGTGAGAAAAGGGCTAGGTGAGACATCTGGCCAACAATCTCGAGCTCGTGGTCGAGCCCTACGCCAAGACCCCAATGAGTGTTGCAAGGCCAACCATGATAGTCATCGACCTTGAGGACGATGTCACAGCACAACATCTCGAGATGTTGAAGGGGGGAGAAGTTTGCTCCCTCATTCCCAATCTCGTGGACAAATACTGAGGTGCAGAACTCGAGGAGGGAGTGAGAACTCTTCAGTCCCTGGTATTAAAGGTAAGTTTCCTCATTACATTTGAGCATAAGGTCATGTTTATCGGCTTTCTAATACTAAACTGCTCATGATGTGCAGGTGCTTGGCGTAGCTCGAGGAATGTCGCTAAAGGGCGAGGCTGATTCCAAAAAGATCACCTAGCTGAAAAGTGCCCTGGAAGTCTAAACTCGACGAGTGGTTGAGCTCGAAGTTGAGCTTGGCCAGAATGTGAGTAAGATAACCAAGCTTTAATCCAGCCTGCAAAAAGCTCGAGATGAGATTGGGGTAGCAAAGGACGAAACCGAATAGGCAAAGCTCAAACTCGAGCAAAAAATAAAGGAATTTGAATCTACGTTGGCTAAGGCTCGAATTGCATTAGTCTAGGATTTTAAAAAGTCCCAGGAGTTTGCTGCTATCAAATGTGATTATGCACTGGGTTCTTACAACTACGCCTTCAAGCAAGCTCGAGCTTTCCTTAGGGCTAAACTCCCTGATGTTAGTCCTGATCAGTTGAGGCCAGTGCCTGAAGTCACTGACAATCTCGACCTCTCAGCATCTGAAGAGACTATGATCAAGGATGAGGTCGACACCTGAGATGACGACGATGTCGTAGACATGCGTTCTAACAATGACCTTGACTAGGATTCATCCTTCCTCAATCATCATTTGTGTATTGATTTTGTATATTTTATTTTGTCAAGTACATTGCCCGATCAGGGCTCGAATATTTTGTCAAGTATTTTGATATCGATGTTTCATTGCTCATTGAATGCACGTCCAATCATTTGTATTTGTATAGATCTCAAGGAACTTTAAGATAATAATTTAATCATTTAAAGATCGAGCAGCTCAAAGCTGCAAAAGATCGAGCAACCTTTGAAATAATGATATCATCATGAAGTTAGAAACTAGAGGAGTTTAAAGCTCCTAAGGTCGAGAAACCTTTAAAATAAAGATATCATCATCAAGTTAGAAACTCAAGATACATGAAGTTTGAGTACTTTAGGACATGAAGTTCGAGCAATTGGGATTGATTTATCCATTAAGCTATTTTAAGGTGTTTGTGCAGGACAAGGCTTTGAGGTACTTGCACGGGGTAAGGCTTTGACGTTTGCACTGGGCAATGTTTTGAGGTGCTTGCTCGGGGTAAGGCTTTGAGGTGCTTGCACAAGAAAAAACTTTGAGGTTATTTGAGATAAACATATTTTATTGGGATAGATCATGAATCTAACTAATCAAAACATACGTAAAAACTGAATGTGGGCACGCAGGCCTAACCAACTGAAAAGTAAAAAGACGTGGGGCGTGCAAGCCTGACAAACCGAAGAAAAAGCAAAAAGAAAAACTAATAGCTAAAAGTAAAATATACTATTTGTAATAAATCTTCAAATTGTCAGCATTCTACAGCCTAGATAGTGGTCTTCCCAAGGTGTCTCTTAGGATGTATGACTTCAAAAGGTCCTTCCCAAACAAGTCCTAACTTGCTAAGGTATGTCCCGCTGTTTCACCTCTTCTTAACACGAGATCTCCAACTCTGAGCCTCCTGGATCTTACCCTGCTATTAAAGTGTTTAGTTGTTCTGTTCTGGTAAGATGTAACCCTTATGGCGGCTTTTTCTCTTACATCTTCTAGAAGGTCAAGGTGTTTTATGATGTGCTCCTTAAACCCGGGCTCAAGTCTCCTGAGGCTCGGCAGTCTAATCTTAATTACAAGTGTAGCCTCTACACCAAATACTAACATGAAAGAGGTCTCACCTGTCGTGGTTTTGTAAGACGGCCTATATATCCAAATTATAGAGGGTAGTTCATCAGACCAAGCTCTTCTAGCTTCTCTAAGCCTCGTTCTGAGATCCTGCAAGATAATCTGATTTGTAACATTGGCTAGGCCGTTGCTCTAAGGATGTGAAAATGATGTAAGATGGTGGTCAATCCCCAGGCTGGTTCAAAAGCTTCTGAAATGTGGGTTATCAAATTGCCTCTCGTTGTCAGTTACGAGGATCTTGGGTATTTCGAACCTGCAATCAATGGATTTCTAGATGAATGACCTTAGTTTGGGCTCTGAAATTGTTGTCAGGGGCTTAGTCTGGGCCTCCACCCACTTAGTAAAGTATTCCACAGTTACTAGACGAACTTCAATTGTCATGGGGTAAGTGGAAAAGGACCGAGGATGTCCACACCCCATTGCTCAAATAGGGCTGCACAATGAATAGGGGTCAAGAATCCCTTCTCACAATCCTCATTCCACTCGAAGTTTTGATTTCCCCTGAATGCTTTGAAAAAAGGAAAGCATCTATTTGCTGCGTGAGACATGAACTTGTTCAGGCGGCAACCCGACCCGTCAGTTTTTTCACCTCTTTCTTACTCCTAGTAGACTTCGAGGACGTCAGGGCCTGTATTTTGTCCGGATTGGCTTCAATTCCCCTGTACGTAATCATGAAGCCTAAGAACTTGCCTGAGGCTACCCCAAAAGTACACTTTGCTGGATTTAATTTCATGTTATATTCCCGAAGAGTAGAGAATACTTTATCGAGATCTACGATATGTTGGTCTGCCTACTTGCTCTTGACTACCATGTCATCCACGTAGGCTCAATATTTTTTCCAATCGCCCTAGCAAAGATTTTGTTGATAAGTCTCTGATAGGTTGCTCATGCCTTCAACAACCCAAATGGCATAACCCTATAACAATATATGGCCGAGTCAGCCATAAATGATGTTTTTTTCTTGATCTTCCTTTGCCATGAAGATGTGATGACATCCATAAGATGCATTGAGGAAGCTGTACAATTTATGGTCCGACGTGCTGTCCACGAGGTTGTTGATTCGAGGTAGGGGATAGCTATCATTTGGGAATGCCTTGTTAAGATCTGTAAAGTCGATACATACTTTTCATTGTCGTTGGGCTTCTTGACGAGGACAATGTTGGTGAGGCAGTTGGGGTACTGAACTTCCCAAATAAATCGAGCATTGATTAACTTATGAATCTCCTCCCATATGACCTCGCGGTGTTCTGGTGCAAACGGTCTCTTCCTTTGCTTAATCGTCTTCTGACACGCCCTACCCCCGATAAAGCTAGTGGACCTGGAGTGTGACGTGCGTCGATGATAGATAC